TAAATTTTTAAAAATCAGATTTTTAGACATACAGGGCCTCCCAGGCCACTAAATATAGATGTTTGAACAAAATAATTTTTGATGTATTTCCCAATTTTTAATTCTCTTTCGAATGGTGTATCGTTTGTAGAGATGAGCCTGATACTTTTTGAGTTATAGCACATTTTACAAAAACTACCTGTGCTGAGATACCGGTGCTCGCATAAAATTATAACCTAGGCAGGTTATATAGGCTTAAAAACCATGTTTCTCATACTTATATTTTTTATTTAAATTATCTGGTTCAAAAATAAATGAACTTTTACTGACTATATTTCACCTATCAAAACTTTTGCATAACCCTAATATTATTCATAAAGACTTTATAATAAAGGACTCAATTTATTTATTAGTGTTTTTCGTTAACATTATTTAGTTAAAGAAATTATAATTGTAATATTTAAAATATCAATAAGTAATAATGTCAACCAAAATTAATAAGAGACCATGTCAAGTATGTGGTGATATCTCAACAGGTAAGATTGTTAAATGGATGGTCGTAAACAAGTATAATTATAAACATATACTGTATTTATAATATATTTAGGCTATCATTTCAATGCAATAACGTGTGAATCTTGTAAATCATTCTTCCGGAGACATGCATTAAAACCAGTAATTTTTACAAATATATTATACTTTTATAGATTACTTTAATTAATTTAACCTCATTTTACTGTATATCCAGGATCAATTTCGGTGTTATTTAGGCGGCTTCTGTAAAGTGAATATAAAATATAGGAATTACTGCAAAAAGTGTCGTTTGAATAAATGTTTTTCCCTGGGAATGCAATCCGTATGTAAAATGTTTGCTAAATATGTAAACATTAAATAAAATATCTATATCCTTTTTACAGAATCTAATCCATTCGGCTAAATATGCAAATAACGAATCTATGGATAAAAATAACAATAATCTGTCTAAACCTAAGGCACTGGATATACCAGAATATGAGACGACAGAATCGTCTACGAGTTCATCATCAGAATCGGTGACCACTGTTGAGATAGATAACACAATTGAATCCATAAATAATCTGGATCATCAAGAAGTAAGATATGATTTTATGGATGACATCGAAGAACTTATTTCCAATGAGACACCGGCGCTCACGAGTGTTGAGCCTATCGCCAGACCAAACATTGATATAAATGGTATTTACAATGAATACGAGCTCATTAGACTCAGGGAACTTATAAATGCAATTAAAATGCTGGACAATAATGTTGAGACAGTGGGTGAGCCCCAGGTTTGTCTGACTTTCAAAGAGGCTATCATTATATTGCGGGCGAACACAGAGGAGTCCATCAAAAATATAGTGAAAATGTCTAAACAATTAATCGGATTCAATGATCTCATAGAAAGTGACCGGCTTATTTTAATTAAATATTCATCCATGGACATTATTAATTTGCGGCGAATTTTGTGTTTTAACTTTGAACACAAGTATTGGGATATTATACAGGTATGAAATGCAGTAAAATATATTATATAATATTAATGTTTATGCATACTAATTGTGCTAAAATCACCCAGATTAATAGATCGCATAGAATTAGCCTGGACTTATTTAAGCGGAATCATAATGCCCTGGAGGGGTATGCCACTTTTGACTATCTCATACTTTTTCTACAGAATATGGGACTTGACTGGGACTTTGATTCA